TGTGCTGGCGATTGTGACTTGTGGTGTTTGCGCTGGGGCTTTCGCGGGCGCTGGCGCTGGTGCTTGCGTTGGTGGTGGTTGTGCTGGTGGTTGTGCTGGCGGTGGTTGTGGTGGTGGATGTGCTGGTGGCTGTGCTGGTGGTTGTGCTAGCGGTTGTGCTGGTGGCGGTGGTGCTGGTTGTGGTTGCTGGTGGTGGTTGTGCTGCTGCTGATGCTGGTGGTTGTGCTGCTGGTGGTCGTGCCTGTGGTTGTTCTGGTGGTGATTGTGCTGGTGGTGCTGGTTGTGGTTTTGGTAGTTCTGCTGGTGGTGGTTGTGCTGGTGGTTGTTGTGCGGTGCTTCTGCTGGTGGTTCTGCCCGGTGGTTGTTGTGTTGGTGGTTGTGTTGGCGGTTGTGTTTGTGGTGGTGTTGTTGGTTGTTGAGATGGTTGCGTTGGTGGTTGTGTTAGTGGTTGTGCTGGCGATTGTACTAGTGGTGGTTTTGCTGGTGGTTGTACGGGTGGATCAGCAGATGGTTGCATTGGTGGTTGTGTTGATGGTGGTTGTGTTGGTGGTTGTGTTGGTGGTTGTGTTGGTGGTGGTTGTGCTGGTGGTGGTTGTGCTGCTGGTGGTTGTGCTGCTGGTGGTTTGGCTGGTTGTTGTGCTGGTGGTGGTTGTGTTGGTGGTGCTTGTGCTGATGGTGTTTGTGCTGGTGGTTGTGTTGGCGGTTGTGCTGGTAGTGGTTGTGCTGAGTGGTCGTGCTGGGGTTGTGCTGAGTCGTCGTGCTGGGTGGTCGTGCTGAGTGGTCGGGCTGGGTGGTTGTGTTGAGTGGTGGTACTGGCTGGTCGTGCTGGTGGGGGTTGTTCCTGGTGGTCGTGCTGGATGGTCGTGCTTCGTGGTCGTGCTGGGTTGTCGTGCTGGGCGGTCGTGCTGGGTGGTCGGGATGGTGGTCGTGCTGGTAGTTTGCTGGCGTTCGTGCTGGGTGGTCGTGCTGGTTGGTCGTGCTGAATGGTCGTGCTGGGTGGTCGTGCTGGGTGGTTGTGTTGAGTGGTGGTGCTGGATGGTCGTGTTGGGTAGTCGTGCTGGGTGGCCGTGCTGGTGGTCGTGCTGGGTGCTCGCGCTGGAGTCATCCACAGGCTCCCGAGAAGGTTGTCACAAGCTTCTGTAAGGCTTTTGGGGGGCTTCTGCAAAGCTTTTGGGGGAGACTTTGGAGAGGCCTCTCAGGGACATCCTGCAAGCAACCCCTCTCCTGCCCCGAATCTCGTCAGAAGGTTTTTCACCACGATGTCGTCAGGGGCGTCTGAAAAGCTGCCGAGAGGCTTGCTTCACAGAGCCTACCAGAGATCATTTCTAAGGAGCTCGCTCGCTCGTCGGAAACTTCCGCGAATATTTGCCCGAACTTTTGGAAGGCCCCTCTCGCCCCGAAGTAAATATGTTTCCTTTCCTCCGTATTCAAACCTCTTCCTGGGCGGAAGGATGTGAAACCAAGAGGAAATAGAACGGTTTACTCTCGAGTAAACTCTTCCAGGAGATTGGTATTTGGGCCCGCCCTGAACCCGCGAATCTACTCCGGAGTAGATTCGCGGGCAAAGCTGGCCCTATCCGCCCCGGCTCCCGCGAATTTACTCCGGATGGAATCATCGAGAACGTTGACGCCGTTGCCAGCGCGAAGCAGATTCATTCCGGAGTAAATCTTCGCGTTCTGGAATGTGTTCCAACCTTCCTGTGGACTTCCTCCGGAGTAAATTCATTCCGAGGCGGGAGTGAGTTCCAACCTCTTTGGAGGATTCACTCTGGAGTAGATATTTTGATCTCCTGGTTTGACCCTCTTCTCTTCCCTTCCTCCTCTCCCTCCCCCTCCTCACCTCCTCCTGCCACGGTCGAAAGGGAAAAAGGCGCCCACTGCACCGAGTGCGCCCGCCTCCCCCAGATTTCTTCGATGGCCCAACGCTCCAATTTTTTTGGCACGTGGATCCCTGGAGGCACCCATGGCATGCCGGCTGCGTGGGGCGAGGCCCGCACCTGGAGGACGGGGAGCTGCGCGCTTCAAGATCGGAGGCACTGGACTCTAGGCCTCGTGGATGGAGTCGGAGTAGATGGGGCCGGAGGATCGCACCGCATCGCCGATGCATCGACAATGCGGCTCGATGTGAGCAGCCCGATTTGCTTCACGTCGGCGCCGTCGATGCATCGCCCACGTCGGCGATGCATCGCCAGTGCATCGCCGACGCATCGCCGATGCATCGCCCATGTATCGGCGATGCGGCGCGATCCTCCGACCCCATCTACGCCGACCCCATCTAGGAGGCCTCTATGGACGGAGAAGCTCTTGGCGAGCGCCGAAGAGGCGCACGGTTTCGTGCATGCCCTTCGCGGCAAATGGGCGAGCACGCTACGGCCGAACCACCGATGGTCTGAAACACGAGGCAGCACGCCATGGCGCACGCGCTCTCGCTCGAGACTGCACGCGGCGTTGCAAGCTGCCCGCCAGGAAGCGGCTGCCAGGGAGCCCATGCGGCCCGAAAGCAGCCGCCCAGCGCGCACGCGGCGCGGCAATGCGGGCGCTCGTAGCTCTCGCCGCCGCTTCCGCCCCTCCGGGGTATCTACCCCACCTCGCTTGTCTCTTCTCCCTTCCCCGACCCCATGTTCGGCGACGCGCCCGGGGGAGAAGAGGTGAGGAGGGGCGGGCCTGCTCGGAAGGCTCGGACGTCCTCCGGCCTCCCGAGGGAGCTGTCTGAGCCTCCCCCGAAGACGCGGCACGCTGCGCGGAGGGCCAGAGGGGGGGCTTCCGAGAGGCCCCGCCGCCTTCCGAGGAGGCCTCTTCTTGCTCCCCTCATCCCCCCCCGGGGGCGCGCCGCGGACCTGCACCGCCACCACCACCATGCAAAGCTGGGCTGGGGGGCACGGCCGCCCCGCCGTTGGAGGAGCACGTCCTCCCCAGCGGGCTCGCGCCGCCAGACGACAGGCGCAGCGCCCAAGGCGAGCGCGAACGCGCCCACGCGCTCACGGCGCTGCTGGAGGAGGACGTCCTCCGCAGCGGGCTCGCGCCGCCGGGCCAGGCGCAGAAAGCCCAAGGCGAGCGCGAACACGCCCACGCGCTCACGGCGTTGCAGCCAGCCCGCAGAGCCTCCTCCCTCTTCCCTCCTCCCTCCTCCCTCCTCCCTCCTCCCTCCTCCCTCCTCCTCCCTCCTCCCTCCTCCCTCCTCCTCCTCCTCCTCCTCCTCCTCCTCCTCCTCCTCCTCCTCCCTCTCCTCCTCCCTCCTCCTGCTTCCTCCTCCTCCTCCTCTTCCTCCTCCTCCTCCTCCTCCTCCTCCGCAGCCCTTCCCCATTGGCAGCCTCCTACCTGCCTCCTCGCCCCATCCTTCGCGGCCTGCGTCGGACCCGCCCCGCTCAGAGCCTCGCAACGGCCTCCATGGCCCTTGCATCCCTCCTCCTCCCCTCCTCCTCCTCTCCTCCTACTCCTCCTCCTCCTCCTCCTCCCCTCCTCCCCTCCTCCTCCTCCTCCTCTCCTCCTCCTCCTCCTCCTCCTCCTTCTCCTCCTCCTCCTCCTCCTCCTCCTCCTCCTCCTCCTCCTCCTCCTCCTCTCGTCTATCCTTCTTCTGCGGGTCCACTGCTGTGGCCAAGTCCGGCACGCGGCAGTCTTTCCACGGCGTGCCGCTGCATCTGTCGCCGCGCCGGTTGGTTCCGACGCGCGGCCCTCCGTTTTGGGGGGGGGGCGCAGCGGCCCCCCGGGGGGCAAGCGCCGCCTCGGAGGCAGTGGGTCCTGCCCTGGGCTTTGCCGCGGCGCCGGCGGCGTCTCCTTTCGGGCGCGGGGCGCAGGGATTGCCGCGGGTCTGCCCTGGTGTCGGCGTCGTCCACCTCGGGCGCGTCGAGGACAAGCGGCGTGGCGACACATGCCGACTTCCTGCAGCACAGCAAGACACTTGCACGCAATCGAGCTCGACACCGGCTGCGTTTCGTGCTGCTTGCACTCCTCCTCCTCCTCCCCCTCCTCCTCCTTGTCCTCCTCCTCCTTCCCCACGGTTACTCAATATGCAGGTCTGCCCCAACATGGCTGGGGAATAGCCCGCCACTTCGGCGCTGTGCTCCCGTCGTTCAGAATGGTGCTCCTGCCCCAGCGCGGACCACGTTTCTGAATCCGAGTCCTTCCTCATTGTTGTCGCCCTCCTCCGTTCCCATCTTCCGCCTTCCCTTGGTCCTCCTGCTCCTCCCGTTGCTGCTGCTGCTCGCCCTCGTCCTCGTCGTCGTCGGCATCCTCCACCTCCTTCTCCTCCTCCTCTTTCTCCTCCTCATCCTCCTTCCTCGTCCTCGTAGTTGCTGTCCATCCTGCCCATCCTCCTACTCATCCTCCGCCTCTTCCTCCTCACCCCCCCTTTATGTACGCAGCTCCCCTTTTCCCGATTGCGCATTACACGCTGGGATCTCTTTTAGATTTCCAGGTCAGCTCTGACACGCGTCTGCGAATCTATAAAAGTCAACGCAATGGCAACGGATGGATGGGAGTGGTAGAATGTCAGATACGGCGCGAGCGCACCTAGCATTTTCTCCGCCTCACTCCCTCCTCTCTCAGAGGATAATGAAGAGGACGACGATGAGAAGGACGACGAGAATGCACGGCAGTCTGCGAAACCAGGTATAACGACTACGGCATCAAGGCGGGTGCGAACGGCCAGGTGGGCGCACGCATGCCAACGATAACGAGCAGCAGCAAGAGGATGTCGAGGAGGGTGGGGGATGATGATGATGATGATGATGATGATGATGATGATGAGGAGGAGGAGGAGGAGGAGGAGGAGGAGGAGGAGGAGGATGAGGATGAGGATGAGGATGAGGATGAGGATGATGAGGATGATGATGGTAGTGGTAATGATGATGACGACGACGATGACGATGGCAATGAGGATGATGAGGATGATGACGATGATGCTAATGATGGTCAGGATGCTGATGATGGTGACGGTTATAGTGATGATGATGTTAATCATGATGACAATGACGATGAAGAAGGGGAGGATGATGATGATGACGACGATGATGACGACAGTGATAATGATGATGGTGATGATGATGAGGATGAAGATGAGGATGATCATGATAATGACGACGACGATGACGATAACGATGACGATGACAACGACGACGACGGCGATGGTGATGATGATGATCACGGCGGCGACGACGACGACGACGACGATGCTGATGATGATGATGATGATGATGTTGGTCATGATGATGATGATGATGATGATGATGATAATGATGATGATGATGATGATGATGATGATGATGATGATGATGATGATGATGATGATGATGATGATGATGGTGCTGGTTTTGGTGCTGGTGCTGGTGGTGATGATGGTGGTGGTGGTGATAATGATGAGGTTGATGATGATGAGGAGGAGGAGGAGGAGTAGGATAATAATAATATTTCAACTGGTAAAATATCAATCAAGAAGCAGTAGAGATAGTAAGGAGAAGCAAGAGAAGCACGAGGACGGCAACGACGAAACGCAATAATGTCATCACGTTGTTTCCTAAAAGTGTCCACCGTTGCCCTCTCCGCTCCACTTCCTCCAGTGTGGAGGTCTACGGTTCCTCGTCCAGTCAAGTCTCCGCATTGCCTCGTTTTTGCGCCCGTGTCTGTCTCGATCCCCTTCTTCGCCGCAGAATATAACTGTCCCTTTCCTTCGATGGTGTTCTGCCTTACCCCTCATGTCGAACTCCTCTCTCCGCCAGAGCTTGCAGGCGTAGAAGCCCCTGCGATGCGAGCTCCGTCCAGGGAGTTGAGCTTGGAGTGTCATGTTCGCTCGCGCTGGCCCTGGAAGACGTACACCGTCTGGGCGGTCCTCACTGAAGGCAACAGTTACGCCGAAGGCACAATGTCTCCACCGAAGACAAGCTGCTGTGAAAACAAAGCTCTTCGGGAGGCAAGAAAGTGCTGCTGTCGTGCTCGCTCTCCACTGCTGTGGCCACTTAGGCCTGGTAGCGCCCCTCGGCTGCCTCCGACCGCGGCGTGGTCCCGCGCCGGCGCGGCCCACTGAAAATGCTTCCCAACGGCCCTCGCAGACGTTCGCCGTCTGAGCGGGCCGCCCCTCTCGCTCGCTCCGGCCGCGGCCGCTTCGCAGGAGCGGCCTGATCTCCAGTGGGAAACAAGCCATGGGGAGGCTCCGTCTGAGGCGCAGAGGCAGCGCGAGGGCGGCGCCGTCGGAGGCCCAGGGACGCCCAGGAGCCTTGATCGCGGGCGGGTTTTCGCGCCCAGCCCGGTGCCTCGTCCGCTGGAGATCCAGCCGTGCAGGCGCAGCCCGCCGCGGCGCGGCCCACTGCTGCCTCGGCCGCGGCGGGGCTCCTGCCACTGCGGGCAGCGAGGTTCGCTCGCGCCGCGCCCCCCTCCCACCCGTGGAGGAGGGGTAGGCTCACCTGGGCGTTCTTCCGGATCTGCTGATCAGTTGGGCACTAATGGCAGTCGTTTGCAGCTGTGGAGGAAGAACAAAAAACACATAAGAAACCATCCCACCCGTGGAGGAGGACGGCGGCAATGAGCTCACTCACCTGGGGCAAAGCAAGTTGCAACGGGGTGGCTCCGCTTCCTCCTGCTCCTCCTCCTCCTCCTCCTCCTCCTCCTCCTCCTCCTTCATCGGATGTTCGCTCCTCCTCCTCCTCCTCCTCCTCCTCCTCCTCCTCCTTCCTCCTCCTCCTCCTCCTCCTCCTCCTCCTCCTTCTCCTCCTCCTCCTCCTTCTCCTCCTCCTCCTCCTCCTCCTTTTCTTTCTCCCGAGGAGCCCCCTGGGACGTGCGAGTTTACATGGCGACTCACGGCGCTCAGGTCCAGGATTTGGGGTCCGTGTCTCAGCCGCATGCGCAGTACAGCCCTGCTACATTGCCGTGGCTACGCCCGTTTTAGCTGGCCTGCGCTGGCCAAAGTCTCGCGCGTTGGCTCGCCTATTGCAGGTTGGTCGTCGTGTGATTCCGAGGTCGCCTAGTGCATGTGGTAGGGCACGATTGGAGTGTTCGTGGTTCAGAAATGCAGCGGGATGGTGGCAATGAGCTCACTGAAGGCAACCAGCCCTTTGCAAACAGATTTGCCTTCAGTGGGTTCGTTGTCGCCCTCAGCGCCCTCAGGCGGAGGAGGAGGAGGAGGAGGGGGAGGCGGAGGCGGATGATGATGATGATGATGATGATGATGATGATGATGATGAGGAGGAGGAGGAGGAGGAGGAGGAGGCGGAGGCGGATGATGATGATGATGATGATGATGATGATGATGATGATGATGATGATGATGATGAGGAGGAGGAGGAGGAGGAGGAGGAGGAGGAGGAGGAGGAGGAGGAGGAGGAGCACTCGGTGATCTCGTTGCCACCAGCCCGTTTGCAGACCTGCCTGCCGCCCGTGGGCCCACCTGCCGCCCTCCCCCGCTGCAAAAGCAGGCCCGCCGCAGACAGCTTGCGGCGGAGGCGCGCTCGGGCGGGAGCGCGGCCCGGGCCCTGCGGCAGAGACCTGGCTCGGGAGCTTTGAGACGGGGGTCAATGCAGACGGGGGTCAGCCAAAAGGGCTCCCTCGAGGGCGCGAAGTTATTCGCGCTTCGCGGTCCTCGTTCCTTCTCCCCCTCCTCCTCGTCCTCCTATTCTCCCTTTGGGAGGGCGGCGCGAGAGCGCGAAGTTATTCGCGCTTCGCGCTTCGCGCAGCGCGAAGCGCGAAGTTGGGAGCCCTAGCAGCCAGAGCGCCCCGACCTTGCAGGATCCTGCAGGGCCAGGGTCGCATTGACCCGGGTTTGGGTGCAGGATCTTGCAGGATCCTGCAAGGCCTCACTGGCCCGGGTCTGGATTGGCCCGGGTCAGAAGATCCCCGAAATTGGCGCAGCGTTCCCTCCAACCTCAGGAGGGGAATCAGCACACAGACGCTATCAATCCGTTGATGCCCCGAAAAATATGGAAAACATAAGTGGGAAAGTATGGGGAGGGGGGAGGACGAGAATCCAGAACATCCAGGGAAATTTGGGGGCATCCTGGGATTCGTGTGTGTAGTTGGCTCTGTGTCCCTGGGCCCCTTGACGACCGCCCAGCGCCGGGTCGGGCGAGCGAGGGGGAATTTGCGACCGTGCAGCAGGCCGCCGCGTGGGTCGACAGCCGCGCGTCGACGCACCCGAAGCCTTCCGCGAGACAGCCAGCGGACCGCGCCGCAGACGAGGCCAATGCATAAAACAGGGCTAGGATCGGGATAAATCGCTCCAGAGCGTTCCGGAGCGCTCTCAGAGCGTTCCGGAACGCTCTGGAGCGGCCGCGGCGCCCAATACATCTTCCAAACCCGCCTATTCTCAGAGATTTCGAGTTATCCCGATCCGATTTTGTCCCGATCTTCGCGTCGTTTTACGTGCGGAGCTGGCTTGTGGGGCCGTGGCAGCGCGCCAGCCTCGCGACTCGGGCGACTAGCGCACAGGCGAGGTGGAGGGGGGAGGACGCGCGGCAGGGCACGAGACCCCTCCGCGGGCCACGCTTCCAAGACAGCCCGCCCGTATCAGAAGGATGCGCGATAAGGATGCAGGGGCCTTGGACGCCCAGTTCGAAACTTCTCGAACGGGGCGCGGCCAACGAAAGTGGCCAAGGATGGACCGAGGAGGCAAGGATGCAAGGGTACCCTTGGGAAGGTTCCCCATGCGGGTTGACTGTAGGGATGTAGGAGGCACGGGTCGCGAAGCACAGGACGCAAGCGTATCCTGGCTTTGGAAGGGTATCCTGTGGTCCCGTGGCATTGCGCCGGCCTCGCGAATCTGGAGTAAGGCTTGACCCAGAGATCCGACGCTCCCCAAAAAATCGGAGCGGGCGGTTTTTGGCCGCTTTCGGCCTCCAGGGGCCCTCGCCGGGCCTCGGGAGCATCAAGAAACAAATTCAGGGCGAAAATTTGATCTAGTGAAGTGGTCCAGACCTCCGAGGCCCACGCATCGAACAAATGGGAGCCGCCGGACGTATGGGGCGGAGCATGGAGTGTCCGTTATTCGTTTTGACCTCGTCGTAAAGCAGCGGCGGACCAAAGGCAGAACGGGGGAATACGGCAACAAAGCGAACACGGAGCGCAGCCTTCAGCTCGAGTTTTGCCCCTGCCTCCTTGCCACCGCTGTGGCTGCCCCGCCTTGTTGCGGGCAGCGGGGGCCCGGCGCGGCCGTTCAAGAGAGGGCGCGGGCAGGGCAGCACGCCGCAGCGCCTCGGGTGCAGCTTGGGGTCTCCGAGCTCGTTCCTGCCCCGAGCTGGTCCTGGCGTCGGCGCCTTCCGAGGCCCTCCTCGTCGCATAGGCCTCGGCGTACGGCCTCTACCCTGCCCTGCCCTCCTCCTTCTCCTCCTCCGTCTCCTCCTCCTCCTCCTCCTCCTCCTCCTCCTCCTCCTCCTCCTCCTCCTCCTCCTCCTCCTCCTCCTCCTCCTCCTCCTCCTCCGCCCCCTCCTCCTCCTCCTCCTCCTTCTTCTTCCGCCTCCTTATTTCCACTTCATCCGCCCCCCTCCTTCCCCCCCTCTTCCCTCTTCCTCCTCCTCCTCCGTAGCCATTTTGGCTCAAGTGCCTTTCTGGCCCGGGTCGCCAGATTGTTCCGTGGGCTGTATCAAACCCTTGTTTGTGTTCACTTGAGGGCCTCTTTGAGGCCCAGGGGTGAGCAAGGTGGACCGTTTCCGCTTGATGACCCGAAACTGCTTGGGAAACGAAGGCGTATTCAGGTAATCGCGCGGGTTGGCTTCAGTGGAAGTATGTTGTTCTCGATGGTGATCTTTCGGATAGTTAGAACGCGCTGAGCTTCAGGTCAATTCTATTCCAGATAATGGGCGCAACGAAGTTCGACGAGGACATAGCAGAGCGTTGGCCTTTATTTTGTCGCAGGTGCTCACAGGCAGTTCGCTTCAGCTGGTGATGAATGTTCCAGGGTATCATGGCTTGGAAGCGTTGCGTTTTCTCGCTCGTCTGGAGGAACCGTCGACAGGTGCCGCACAGGTCACCCAGCTGATTGGAATTATCCATGCGAAGTTTGACGGCGGCCCCTCGAAGCTTGCGGAGCAGATGCAGATTCTAGAAAGCAGGTTCCAGACGTGCTAGAAGCAGCGCAACGAGACGCTCCCGGACACGTTGAAACAGGCCGCTTTAAAGCAACATGCACTATCTACTATCAAGGCACAGGTTGATTTGCAGACGGTCGCTTCAGCAGATTCGCTCAAGGAGACGATGCTGAACTACACGCAGTTGCAGATGAGTTCCACGGCGGCGAGTTCAGGCCCAGCGCCCATGGATATCGGAAGCGCGCACCAGGGCAAGGACGGCAAAGGAAAGGGCACGTCAAAGGTACGGACAACAAGGGCAAGGGCAAGAACGACGCTAAAGGAAAGTATAACAAAGGTAAGGACTGTGGCAGGGGTAAAGCTCAGGGCGGAAAAGAGCATTAGGACGTAACTTGTCACCGGCGTGGGCAGCGAGGTCATTGCGCCCGCAATTGCAGGCAGGCTCCTGGTACGACGCACAACGAAGTTTCAGGAGGACAGCAAGGTGCAGGTCACAGCAATTCCCAGGTGCCAGCGCAGTCACAGCTAGGTGAGATTGCGGCTGTTTCCGGGGTTGCCTACGATGGTTGGATTGTCATGATCAGTCAGACAGCAATCATGGCAGTTGGCGGCTATGCTGAGGGTCCGTCGTTTGACGGCGGAGCGCGCGCGCACGTGGCGCCCAAGGAGTATGCGAAGCACGTGGAGATGACCGATATGATCAAGGAGTCCGAGTTTTTTTCAGCTACCGGAAACAAGGTCCGAGTTTATGGTCAGCGACTGGCCCTGTTCAGCGTTGCGACAGCGTGCGGTAAGGTGCTGAAGGTGGTAGTTCCGTTTGCGATCGCTGACGTTCGGAGGCCGTTGATTTCAGTTGGCGTGCTCGCGGACAGAGGCCACGCGTTGCAGTTAGGCGACCAGGGTCACATGCCACACGAAATGGGTCGACAGTTCGTATGCCGAGGGTCGGGCGCGGATGCTACCTTACGGGCTTGGACAAGCCTGAAGCGATCGAGGATCTGAGGTCGGTCGAGACGGCGGCTAGTCGCCCTGTTTCGACGTCGAGTCCGCGGGAAAGTCTTGCGGGAGGTATCATTCAGGGCGATGAAGAAGTTCAAGCACCAGCTGAGGCAGCGGAGGCAGATGCAATGCGAGCTCCAGTTCTTCCCGGCGTCGAGGATCAAGAGAGGCAAAACCCTTACCCATTTTCCTTACGCTCCGTGGCATAAGAGCGGTGTGATTGGCCGAGGTAAAGAAGAAGCGCGCCGACGGCGTCAAGGAGAAGCTTCATCACCGAATCCCGTCCTTTCTTGACAGGCATGGCCAAGTGCCTCCTGGCTCTGGAGGACGGCGACGCGGAGACGGCGACGATTTTAAAGATTCAGGACAGCGTTTCGTCTTGCACGGGAGCAGCTCAGGCACCAGAAATGGGCCCCACTCCGTGCGCAGTGGCGTTTCTCAGCAGCTGTCTGGACGAGTTGGGCAATCCTCGGGCCAGCGTTCAAAGCGACGGCGAGCCACCCATTACTGCACTTGGGAAGGCTTTGGTCAAGGAGCGCAGCATGCAGTCCGAGGACACCCTTGCACGCATTGCAGTGCGGCAGTTGGCGCCAGGATCACGCGAGCAACGGTTTAGCAAAAACATCGGTCAAGGTTATTGAAGGCCTGGTGAGCACGTTGGCACGTGCAGTTCGGAAGAAGTACCACATTGTGGTCAAGGGCGGGTCTGCCATCCTAAGCTGGATCGTTAGACAGGCTGCTTTCGTTCAGAACAGGTTCCAGCGCAAGCGCAACGGCAGGACAGCCCACGAGGATTTGAAGACGGCAATGCGCAGGTCGCCCTTGCCCATCTTTGGCGAGAACGTCTTGGCGAAGAAGTCTGGGGTTCCAGATGACCGGCTTACCTCGGCTTGGCAGACGGGGATCTGGCTGGGGCGATCGACAGATACCGACGAGCACGCCGCAGGCACGACGCTGGGCACCGCGAATGCTAGGACGGCCAAGAAAAGGCCAGAGGAGTTTCAGTGGGATAAGGAGGCGTTCGACAAGATGGCGTTCCCGATGCGGTCGCAGGCGGACTTGAAGGGAGCTCGTGGAGTATCAGGCTGGACACCCACGGAGGGATGCCAAGCATGCGAGGATGATCGACCACCAGTTCGACGAGTTGGACGACCGAAGGCGCATGCTACGGCGCGTCTGCACCGACAGGCGGAGTTCAGACGACAACAGCTCGGGGGACCTGCAGTTGCTCCACTAGTTCAGGGGGGGGTGGGGGGGGGGCGGCAGCGAAGGTCGCAGCAGCTCCGAAGGCAAGGCCAGCGCAAGCTTCAAGCCCAAAGAGGGAGGCAGCTGACCGAGAAGAAGGCGGAGGAAGAAAGCGCCCAAGACCACAGCCACCAATATCAAAGGCAACAGAGGGGGCACAGGACAGGATACGACCATCAGCAACAGCACCGAGTTCATCGGCAGCAGCCGCAGCGTCGCCAGTTCCAAGTTCCAGGATGTACGGCAAGCAGTCACCCGGCAGCGCTGGCAAGCGAGAGACTGAATGGGGAGCGCAACCATTAGGAGTCCCAAGCAGGCGAGAACCGAGGACGTGGAGATGTCCGTTCAGGTTGCGGAGGAGCTGAAGCCGATCGTGGAGGAGAGCGACGAGCAGATGAACAAGCGCGTGACCACGAATCGAGAGTTCACCCAGGGGGGGATCACCATAGCCAGGCTTGCAAGGTTGATCAGGCTCGACGAGTTCAGGGCGAAGGGGGGCAGCAACGGGTCAGCAGTGGATGGTCCGTTACTTCCAGTTGTTTGGGTTGATGAAGCCAGGGCGGAAGGGGGTGGAGCCGAGGATTTGCTCGGGGCTTTTCAACGCGCCGAAGAAGCCGAGGGATCGACTTTCACCCCGACCCCTGGAGCGAGTACTATGCGAGTTCTGTTGGCGCGGGCGCCCCTCAAGAAGTGGGGGGCGAAGTCCTTCGACGCACCCATGGCTTTTCTACGCACTCCAATTCGGGAGCAGGTCTTCCTCGAGCCGCCAGCTGAGCACAGGCAACATTGCATCGAGAACTTTGGCGGGAACCCAGGCGATGTGGTTTGGAAGTTGAATTGCACGAACTGCGAGCCCAACGAGGACACGGTGGATTTCGACGCGCGCTGCAGCAAGATCAACATCGATGAGCTCAACATGAGGAGGTCGGTTTCAGAGCCAAGCATTTACGTCAGCGAGGATGCGAAGATAACTGCGGCGAGACACGTGGACGATGGCATGGCCATTGGAGAAGGTCCAGATCCAGACGAGTTCGTCGAGGCGCTGGGCGAGCACTTCTTGCTTCAGTTCACTCCAGAAATGACCAGAGGCAGTCCCCAATTACACTTGGGACGCGTCATCAGGAAGCTGCGTGCCGACAGGGTTCTCTGTCCGGGTGGCGCCCAAGACGATTGACAGTTCGCTCGACCACACGGGAGCTCAGCACGCGAAGGCGGTGGCGACCCCAGGTTTGAAACCAGAGGTGAAGAAGGACGGCGAGGAGTTGCTCAGCGATGACGAGGCGAGGAAGTCCCGGACAGGCACTGAAGCTTCTGTTTGTAGCCGCAGAAAGGTATGACTTGCAGCTCGCGGCGAAGAAGATCAGCAGAGGTATGAGTCAACCTACTGCGGGAGATGCTCTACGTCTTGAGAGGGCTGCTCGCTATTTCGGCGGAGCCAGGGAATTTGCCAATCTGATCGCGCCAGAGGTCACGGACAACATCGTCGCCAGGGTGAGGGTGGATAGCGACTGGGCTGGCGACAAGATTGGAAGGAAGAGCACGTCAAGCGGGCGCGCTTATCTCAACGACACGGCGGTTTCAGCCCACAGCAGAACACAGGCGAGTCCAGCGGCGTCGTCAGCGGAGGTGGGGGTCTATGCCGTGGGCTCAGGAGCATGCGCAGGCTTGTTGGTGGAATCGTTTATGGAGGAGACCCTTCCAGGTACCCAGGTCAGTCTACAGTTGGAGCGGGACAGTTCGGCAGCTATTTCATATCAGAGCAGACTTGGTCTGGGCGGGCTTAGAAGCGCGCTCACTTGCGTCGCGCGTTCGTTCAAGGCTTGCTTCGAGAAGGACGTTTTGGTGATTTATAAGATACAGTGAGCGGCTTGAATAAGGAACGCGTTTCGTTGGGGAGGGGCTCGGTGTTCCTTGATTGTTTCACAGTTTGCCTCGGGTTTTCCTGAGGTTTTCCATGGGAATCAGAGTTCAACTTATAGGGAAAAGGGGCCTCGTTCCTTATTTAAGGTTCCTTAGGTCAACGCCCCGACTGTACCAACAGCGTCCAACAGCAGTGATTAGGGCACCCAGTTTTTGGAGAAGGCGGAGTTCGAGAAACACCGATGGGTTTTTGGTCTGCGCCGTCGTGATGGCGGAGATGTACTTGAGGTTCCGGATAGGGTTCAGAATGCGAGAGTTGTTTCGTTCAAGGACGAAGGTGAGGTTCGACAGGGCAATGTTCTCTGTTTAGGCGGCTTGCTTACTGTAGTCAAGGGCACGGATGGGGCTGGCGAGATTTCAACGATTGAGACGGTGGACGAATCTTGGAGCGTGTCTGTTTCGACACAGATAATGATGATGCGCGCTCTCATGATGGGCGATTTGATCTATTACGCGGGTATACGTGTCGGATGCCATATCGGAAAGGCTGACGCCACCTCGGGTCTGAAAAAGGAGGATCCACCTGCTTCCGGAAAGGTATGTACTGTAACAGCCCAGACCCCCAATACATGTGTTTCGCGAGGGGGTGCCCTAACTGTACTAAGATATGTGTTGATGGTTTTACGATCAATGCTGTTAGAATGCGTCTGTGTAGGCTCGGCAGCAGTCCCACCGGATGCAAGTCAGAGTTTGTGAAGAGCTTGAAGGCGTTGGAACCTTGGTGGCGCGAGTGAGGATGTCATGATGTTCCTGGGACTTGGTTTGACATGCGGTTTGCGCGCGATCATGTTGCAAGATGAACCGAGACGACCGAAATTATATGAGAGTG